ATAGATAAACCACTCCGACCGCGACAAATAACGTTGCCCTTTTTGCGTGCCCTTCGGAGTGCACTGTTTATCTGGTTTCACTGAACACACGAGGAGGACTTCCCACCAACAGCCTAATTATCGCTCTCATTGCTTTGAAAAGTCTAAATTGCTTGCTAAAGTGCTCTCTCAGTTCATTATCAAGCAACTATGATGGGGCGCTGTTTGGTTCGGGAGACGGGGAAAAGAATCGTGGGCACTATTTACCCTTTACTGCCCCAACCATCCAGAATTGAGCCAGTTTCTGACCGACTTTTTCTCCGTGGACAGATTTGGCTCAAATGTTGTCTCCTGGGGTATTTTGACCTCCTGAATACGAATATGACATTCGCATAGCCCGAAACCTCCTGGCGCCCGCGCCACAGGCGCCGGTGATCTGGGGTATTTTGGCGCCAGCACCTGTAGCGCGGGCGGCAGGAGGTTTTGCGCCGAGCGGATGTGATATTCGTGATCAGGGGGTCAAACTACCCCTGGGAGCAAGTTTTCAGCAAATTCTGCCCACGGAGAAAAAAGTCGGTCAGGAACTGGCCTGATTTCGGATGGCTGGGGCAGTAAAGGGTAAATAGTGCCGAATCGTGATTTGCCGCTCCGCCGCGCGCGGCGATGGGCGCGGCGTTTTCTTAACTCGTGTTAACCTGTCGATTGGAGCACCGGACTTCATGTAGACCCCGTCATCGTAGACATTCATGACTATTTTCGGTTCTGAATTGCCTGTTGTCGCCATCTACTACCTGGAACCATCGTCATTTGCGGAGCGACGTCGCACCAGCGCAGCGAATTACGATTTTCTTGCCACATACCCCAACTTAGTAAGACCTATAGACTCTTTTCAAGACTAAACGAATCATATGCTGTTGCATAGCTTTGCAGAAATTTATAGGTCTTCAAAATTCTCAACAGCAGTGATCGATGAGAACCAGCAAAGTGCCAACACCTAGCCGAACTGCGGCCAAATCGGTACCATTAGGTTGTCACTGAATATGTTGCAGTCTTATATATGAACGAAAAACATAGTAACTTTAACACAATTTTATTAATCAAACTGAAGCCAATAACAATAAGCACGTACAAGTAATTGCCAACCTTATAGTAGAAAACCTTTGCCGTCATGGTGAAGAAGAGGACTATGGGGTTTGATGATCCACAAACTGCTTTTTCGACCTTCTCTTTATTTAACTTTGCATTCTGGTACAGCTGAGAGTCAAACTCCGCAGGAGATGGTTTTGTGAAGCGGAAAGATCAAGAGACTGGGACAGGAAAGGTGGGAGCTCTGTGATTCTATGTCAATTTTGGCCCCAACTGCACCATAACAGCTCATTTTATTCGGATAGTACGAGATCCGCTAATTCTGCGAATTCCTGGTTACTTCCAGGGCCCGCTATGACCTTGCACCTTCAATAAACGGGTAAACCATGGCCAACAAAGAAACGGCAGATTTTCGGATAGACTTTGCGACATCACTGTAGTCCCATGATGAAGGACGAAGATAGATAATACAGCTCCACTTCGTTCTTCAATCCATCTTGTATTCGGCAAGCGCTGCACGTATTCAAAAAAATTATGGTAGCTTAGTGAATGCAAAGTAGCCTATAAAACGACTTGCAGGATCATCCGATATGTATATCAGTGTTTTTATGCTTCCAAATGTTTTTATGCCGGCCGTTTGGTGCTCCACCGTTATGCGCCCGCCTGGGAGCACGCATACCGTTTAGTCCGTCACTTTGTTAGCGGCCTGTTACGAGCAGCTCGGCTCCCAGACAGGGAGACTCGTCGAAATTCCACTGAGCTGGTGCCAATTGAGCGACTTCATAGGCTAGACGGCGTGCTTGGCCTGAGTGGAGTCGATCCAAGATTTGACCCCGAATTGCTCAAGTGGTAAAGGGGGCCACCGTTGTAGCCGTG